GGAGTCCAGGGTATAGGGGGGGGTGGGTGGACATGGGGGGCTGCATCGGACTCGGGGCAGGGGGAAAGGCAGGCAGGGAGACACACGGGAGCAGAGAAATCCCTGGCAGCTGCCCAGTCATAAAGCTAGTGCCAAGCAAAACTGATCCCTGGCTTAGCGGGGAGAGAGCGGGTGTTTACTTAGGAATAAAAGCAGGTGAACTCGTGTACGACATACCTCATCTGAAACTACAGCAAACAGGAAACCCACTGACCAGAGAACAAAGAAAATAAACAGCCCGTCCCAAAGATAGCCAGCTTATATTTAGGAGAAGCGCTTTCGGAAGGGGCTGTGGCAGGAGCGTCCATCACTGGGGTGAGTTGTCCCAGGACTGTGCTGGTGGTTGGACCAGATCATGGAGGTGGTGGTGTTTAGCTGCCAAGTTTGGCTGCAGCCGGCGTCCCGGCTGTCCCCCACCTCACCCGGGGCTGTCGGCCACCCCAGGTTTCATTCCGTCAGCCCCAGCACCGGGCAGTTTTTGGGGAGGCGCAGGGTCCGTAGGGCAGGTGCTCCAGGCGGAGAGCACGGACCCGCGGGGAAGATGAGTTTTAAGCTCGGCATAGCTGTGCCCCCCTCTTCTGCAGAGTAGCGATGGAGAAAAATAGTGAGCAATGAGGAGCACAGGTGTATTTTGAAAGGGGTTAAAACCCCCCCAACGCACGCTCTTGTGCTTTTTCCCTCCGCATCAGCAAGCAGTGAGTTGTGCTTATCTCCTTCGGCCAGACAATAGCAGTCAGGCTGAGAAACTTCTACCTCAAACTGTGCATATTGTACAGGGGAATAAACGGACCATGTTTATATTAAACAGCATATTTACATACCACTAATAGTATTTTATGAAAAAGGGAGGGAGGAACGGGGGGGAGCAAAGAGCCTTCTGCAGCTTGTTCATTTTAATTACAGATGAACGGGGGGGGGGGGAATCCCAGAAACAATGTACTGCACAATTTTTTTTTTAAATGGCAACAAAGCCGTTTTTTGCACAGTGTTAAGAGTTGTAAAGTTATTTGAAGATGTTTCTTGCACACACGTAGACACATGGAAATTAAAAATGAAACCGAGGTTTGAATAACGCCGACCTCGAAACTGATTTCTGGTTTTGTCTGATCTGTTATAGCTTTATTGAGAGAGTGACTTTTTAATATTATTTTATGAAGGTACTGTAAATATATCCATATTATAAATTAAAATATCTTAAGGGACTTTTATTATTTTTATTTTTATTTCCAAGTGCCCACGTGAATCTGCTGTTATTTTAGCACTTGTGTGTCATTTCCATTTTCCTCTCTGTGTGTGTTTTATAACATATTTATACTCTGGTGCAATTTACTACTGTGTAAGTAATTGGTCTATGTGCAATAAATACCATTGCAGCACAAGCAAGCGTGTCTCTCTAGGTTTTGAAACAATACCTACCTGTAATGGGAAGAACAGCATTTGTTTTTCTCGAAAGATGGCTCAGATTACCAATATAACTCTATCTAATGGCTTTTCCTGACACAGTATTGTAAAAAACGTGTTTGAAACCCAATAAGGTTGTGTTCCTGTTGCACTGAAGTCTGCTGACTTCCCTTAAAATTAATGGCTGAAGACAAGGTGTTTCCAGTCTGATAATGAATATACTCGTTTTCTGTAACTATTCCTTTCTGGAATATATTCTTTTTTTTTTTTTTTTTTTTTTTTTTTTTTTAGGAGTACGCGTCTGGGAGTCAGGAGACCAGAATATTTAAGATTACAGAGGATGCTTAAATTGAAAGCTAAAAATGGTCTCGAGTAGAAAGAAATCTCCATATGTGGTACATGCCACCCCACAAGTAAGTCTACCTCGTGCCGACGGTGGGCCTGATCCTGCCCGAGCGAGGTGGGCAGTGGGTGTCCCGGTGGGGTCGGGTTCTGGTGCTGAGCGTGGAGGTCGGGGGAGACATCTGCCTGAAAAGCAGCCGGAGGAGGCTCGTGCCCTGTAAGGGGAGATGGCAGCCGGGCAGCCAGTCGCAGGACTCCAGACTTTGGTTCCCTCTTACTATTAAAAAAGGAGTTAACCTCTGAGGGAATGGCTGGGGCATAACTGGAGCAGGATCGGACTCTGGGACAGACTTAAAACACTGCTGAAACCTCTTCTGTGTCACTGGCTGAAATAAAACTACCCAGTTTGTAGATCATAAACCTGATGGCCACGTGCAGTGTGGCTTCAGCGTGCTGGCGACAGTCGCGTACCCCTTAGGGGCCAGATTGTGATAACTTGAATGTTATACTGTGGGCTGATCCGAGTAACGAGGTCGTGTGAGCAGAAGGGCTGCAGATTTGCATCCCTGGTCCAAAAAGATTTTCTTCCTTGATCATTTTATGAAGGCGCGCTGCATGCTTGTGGTTTCATATAGTTTTTCATTACTGCAATGAATACACGGCAGATAGAGCAACAAAAAGGCAGTGCAGAATAAAAGTGAAGCCATTTTAAACTTTATTAAACTCAGAAGTATAGTTATATGAGAAATCACCTCCTAGGAAGAGCAGTTCCCAAAGCATGATCTTTAGGATGGTGGCCAACGGTTTGTTTTGGAAACCATTTGTTCTTTTTTTCTTTTGTTTTAAAAATTAAGGAATTCGCCCTTTGCAATTTCTAATGATGTATTTTCAGGAAAACAAAAAAAAGTTGGTTTTTATTTAAGGACAAAATAAACGGACCAGGGAAGTAAATAATACTTTTCCATTGATGTTACTGGTGTTTGATGCAAGCTGCAGTTAATGGTGTCTGTCTTGATAATAGCAAAATGAGGTCCTTAAAATGCTGGGGTGACATCAGATCAGGTGCTAAGTGAAGTAGGCTCTGCCACCAAATGATTATTTTTTTTAAAAAAATCTGTTTTTGTCTGTGATTCCAGCAAAGACAACAGGACCAAAAGGGTGCATGGGATGACGATGTCCGATGCCGGCGACTGCGGCGAGCTGTTGGCTGCGCATGTCGGGGTTGGGATGGGATGAGGAGGCAGCACTGCCGTCCTCCTCCTGCGCTTTGGGGGTTGCAGCCAGCCAGGGCAGGATCCGGCCCCAGTGCCCGGCTGGGAGCTGAGGTGGCTGTGGAGCCCTCATCCTCAGCAGGGTGCTGGACCCTGGGGGAGCGGGGTGCCTGCTGCGTGGGGTGGAACAGTCTAATGGGCTTGGCTCTTCGTCTCATAAATCAAGTCACATACTTAATTTTAACCATCTGAAAGCTCAGGTCCTTAGAATTTAAAAAGTGATGAAAGTTTTCACTCAACAGGGTCCAACTTAGGTGGGAAATTTATGGCCAGATCTTGCTCAGCTTCTCCCGCTGAATAGCTATGCCGCGTCACGCTTCTCCTGGACAAGTGTAATGGCATTGAGAAGGTGAAAGGTAGGATGGTTTTTGCCCATCAGCCTCAGTAGGGCCTACTGTGTGAGCAAAGTGGTCAGGATTTGTCTGCTGTTGAGTTTTGGCCAGTTGAGGACCTGCTGGAAGAGTCCGGAGGCCGGCACGTTGGGTCCCTTCGTAGACAACTAAGATAATCCACCTGACAGCGTGGATGGTGGATGCTGGTCCATCTTGCACGGTGTAGAAAAGGCAGTGGCACAGTAACGGTGTGGACAGAGCAGGACATATGGCACGCACGTGTGCGAGGAAGGGGAGGCTGCTGGCGAGCAGTCTGCCGTGGATCACGCTCAGAACAGGCTGTTCTCCGTGGAGAAGAAGGATACTCTGAAAAGTGTTACGGGGCAGCTGAAATACTCCGGAGGCAATGAGTCAAACACTCACGATGAATATTTTTTTTTCTGACGAAAACCAGACATGGATTAGCAATTGGAGCTGCAAGTCAGAAAGTATAGGTGGTGGGCATGCGGCTGCACACGTACGTGGGCAGGGAAGTAAGAGCAAAGAGCCGCAGGCCTGCAGGAAAGGGAGACACAGGTAAAACAGAAAGCCACTTGGAGAAAATTATTTGGCGAGGGTGCCTGAGACTTCCACAAGCAAGACAGCCGATTCTCAAAGGCGCCGGCCGCACTCTAAGCTGTGTTTGCTCGGCACTTCTGAAAAGCAGGCTGCATCTCTCCACGTGCTTAGATGGGAATATATCGGGTGGAAAGCCCGGCTTCAGTTTTCCATGCGTTCAGGAAAGTTCAGGATGTTTCAGACACACAGTGGGCTATCGAGGTGCCGGCAGAACGACCTCCCCACCACCGAGAGCTGCACAAAAGCACTCCTGCAAATTCACTGCGCTTTGAGACCACGGCCCTCAGCATTAACTGACTGTAGCTCCAAGCAGTAACTGGTGAACGAATGAAACTATGTGCAAAAAATGTGGCTTAAAATTGTGACCTGAACACACACAGCGTTTGACAGCGTCAGCCGGGTGTTTGTGGTACAACACACACTGCTTCTTGTGCAAACGCTGCTTTCCCTTTTGGCTATACACGTGTTTTCAAGTATAAGGACAACTTCTTTATCAGCTTTTTTTTTTTTTTTTCCCTTAAACCCTATCTGAAGTCGAGGTTTTATTAATAACTTTTAAGTGGCTATTTTGCAAACCTTCCTTCTGCTGCACACTTTCCTAATTTATTGTAATTTCCCGTCCGGTGGAGTGCACTTACTTCCTTTATGTAATGTATCAGCTGCAGGGCTGGAAATTGTGCGGCTCTGAACTGAAAGAGCAGACTTTCTTGAGGCCAAATGCGGTCAGGCATCATTGCCACTGGGAGCAGAATTTGACCTGATAATCTAATCTTATACGAGAGACTATCTCCAGAAAAGTATTGTCACCGGCAGTAAATGACCTCTGTTAATGAAGCTGGAGCAATTAGTCCTATTCAAAGCTGTCAAGAAAATGTTAACTGCTAAACAACAGTTAACGTTGGATAGTTCAAATAATGAGCGTTTTGTTTGCTGGTGTGTGTTAGGTGATGTGTTGGGAAATAATTATCCTTTGACTAGCAGCCAGCTTTGTACTAATCAGAAGGGAGAAGTCATGTTCTGTTTGAAGGATTATACCTAAAAATAGTTCTGTTACCGCCACATCAACGAGTGAAATGAAGCAAATTCATGGAGACGTACACACCTTCTTAACATTTCACTTTTCGTCCTAAAAAACTCATTGTTCAGCTGGAACTTTCTGTTTGATCGTGTCAAAAGCACTAATATGATCTCCTGCAATAGCACTAAGCACACTCCCCCCGAGGAGCATTACCCTATGCACCACTGACTTGCTTTCAGAGCCTGCCAAATTCCCCAAGGCCCCAGGAGGAAGTAAGGAGTCTTTCTCTTTATATAAACAATCGCATATAATGTAAGATCAACAATATTTGTGATAATCGTCTCACAGAAGAAATCGATATGCTTTTCATTCAAGATGTTTGTCCGCCTGCCCATCCGTCAGGAGCAGCCGTGGTAACAGCAGGTGATTTATTTGGGCAATTCAGTAACTTCAGGCTGTCAAACTGCGCTTGAAAAAGTGACCGAGATGGGAAAAGGATAAAAAAAGGTGATGCTGGTGAGGAAAACCGGGGTTGTCATTGTAAACAGCAAAAACTGGGGCATCTTTCACCATACGATATATGTTGCCTTTTACTGGGAATGTCTTACCAGTTTGGATAGGGATGCGTCAGGCAGATGCGCTGTAGAAACGCAGGTTAAGAAGGGTAAGCAGTAGGACACTTTCCATGCAGGACTGGCTGCTGGAACATCCCTAAAAGCTTTTCTTATTGTTTTCTGATAACAGCAGCAGACTAAAGCACACCTGAGCCGCTTCTCAGCCGATGTAAAGCCGCACAGCTCCCTGGCCATCCATGGCTCCCGGGACATGTACATCCCCCTTAGCATCTCCCCGTCCCCTCCGAGGGGCTTATGCCAAATTTTGCAGGACCTGGAGCCTTCCCCCAGCCCGGAGCTGTCATCCTCTTGTGTGGAGGTGCCCCATGGCACCCCGGGGGTGGCAGCGCGGCAGGGTGGATGCACGGTGAATGCACGGCTGCGCCCGTGCCGCCGCAGCGGTGCCAGGCATGCTGGTGCAGGCTGCCAGCCGCGCCGCTCCCCTGAGGCATCTCTCCGTCCTGCGAACACCAGCAACAGAATCGGGCCCGCTGCGCTGGAAATTGGAAGAGTGTTTGGGTTTGTTATGTAAACTGGCCATCAGCTTCCTGGTTCACGAAAACTGGCAGCTTGGTGGGCACGTTCACTTCGCAAACTGCCGTTTTGTCTTCCCGCCTGCTCGGCTCCCAGCTTTTTCATGGCAGTGTTTGCTTGCTCGGCCTTAGCACCCAGCAGCACGGATTTTTCAGCTTGTGCCCCAGCAGTAGTCTGCATCCAGACATGAATGGTACCAGATGCTGGGCAGCGTTTGGGTTTGGTCATACCCGTTCCTTCCAGGGTTGATGCTCGGAGTTATTAACACCAGCGGCACCAAGGTGCAGAGGTACCAAACAAATAGGAAATGAGTCCTGACCTCCAGATCCACAACCTGAAAGAGAAAACAGAAGTTTGCCCAGACTTCTGCCATTGCCGCAGTTAGCAGCGCATCTCAGATGTAATGATATGCCTTTCCTTTCTGATCCTGTGTAATGCACCAAATCCTGTTGTCCTTAATGAGATTAAACGAGTATTTTCTACTAGTTCGGTGCTCCAGCCATTAGCCATGGTTGCGCGTCTCTAGGCAGTGATGTACCTTTGCGTGCCTGGCCCAGTGTCTCTCTCAAGGCCATGATATTTAGACTTCTTCCTACCAAAATTATCTTGATAATTGGTCTTAAGCTCTTTGGCACAATGCTTTGAAAGGTAGATTTAAGTGTATACACCAAAGAGGCAATCAGAGGCACTAAGGAGCTCAAAATCTCAGCAGCTGCTGGGTGTATAAATATTTCAGCTACCAACAAGTCATTTTTCAGAGCCAGGCGAGTGCTGCATCCCCGCAGAGGCTGTCAGCTGCCCTCCCTCAAAGTGGGACTGCAGAATACCTTGCCATTGCAAGGAAAAATTGCAGGGACAGCACAATAGCTCACGACAAAAGCTTTGCCAGGTGGTAAAATTTAAACAGTGCTCGGTGGCCAAAATTTAAAGAGTTCTTGTTAAGAAGCCCCTGGCAGGATTTCCTAGTGGGGAAGGGAGAGCAATATTCAGGGTTAAAGTTTCCATGTACAGATGTAGAGCCCCTCATTGACTACTCCAGCGAGAGTTACAGATGCCACTGGCACCCTGTGCAAGCCACCATGGTGGGCAAGTGCTGTCTGCCCCAGCCACCCCTGGGGAGAGCTCAAGGTGCCCCCAGTTGCCCTCCCTGTGCTCCTGTTTGGGTGCATAACATGCCCCCCTCTCACCTGCCTGAGTATCGGAGGGGACCCCAGAGATGTCATGTGACACAAAGGTGTCCCCCTTTGCCGACCCACCGTTGTGCTGCCGAGGGAGGAGCACTTCCTTTTGGGCTGGAGCAGGTAAACTGGGAGATGTCCCACAAATCTCCCATTGTTTAACAGCTCACCCGCTCACCGAGCCCGCCTTCAGCGAGGGATATTTTGTTTGTCTGTTCTTCCCCTAAATACTCACTTGGGAGCCGTCAAATAAAACCTCAATTAACTTGCTTATGACGCGGAGCATGGTGTGGGATGGGTTCCCTGGCAGGCAGCTAACCTCGCTGCGCTACGGCGGCGGAGGCGAGGGCGACGTGGGACAGAAGAGGGGGGGACCTGTTGTTCACACCCTCCACCCCGACCAAAGCATCGCTGGTACCCTGGCAGGTTTTCATCACCGGACTAGGACAGCTGCAACACCGATGTGCCCAAAATCCCGGATCCTGACACAGGAGCATCCGATCTGCTCACGAATCAGCTCACCTCAAATACTTGGGCTTTTTGGAGCTTTTATGTAATATTGGGCACAAGGTGGCTGTTGCTGCAGTAATTGCCAGGAGCAACAGATGTCGTAACGCTGCTCTAAACCACTTTTGAGAGCATCCACGGGAGAGGTGTTGCTCCTTTCGCTGCCAGGTGGTTCCCAGCTAGCTGGCAACGGGATGAACGCATGGCTGCCGTTCTCAGCATCAGCCCATCCACGCTGGGGCTGGTGCTCGCGCTCTCCCCTCCACTGCATGTCCCGCTGCCCGGACTGGCTTTGCTGTCTGTACAGCCTCTTGGGCAATGGGCTCCTCTGGCTGAAAACCAGCCCTTTCAGAAAAGGCTTGTTTCAGCTGATCCGCACAGGTTACATCAACACGGGTAATGGCATGAGGGGCATGGGAATGTGCGAAGCAACGGGGCTGAGATCATGTTTTGGTGGCAGCCCTCATTTGGATCCATTGCTGTCATCACAAACCTCATGTCTGGCGGTGATGCTGTGGAAGCTGAGACCCTGACCAGCAGCCTCTGGCCTGTCGTTTTGCCTGACCTGTGCTGGAAAAGCAGGAATCGCCACCTAAATCTTCCCTCCCTTCAAGGGCCATGCTGAATACTATATTCAGAAGCTTAATGACTAAACCATTAAGCTTCTTGTTGCAAGTGAAAAGTGAAAAGCAAAATTAGTTTTGTACAAATATTCATTCAATAGACGAAAAACATGATTTAAGTCTGATTATCTGCTGTGTAGCTAAACCATGGTGAAGAGGATGGAACAGACTCCTCAACTTTTGGCAGAGACCTGGACTAGGGGAGCTGAAAGAGCTACTCAGGTACCAGGTGACAGCACTAAACTGTCCCCAGCTGCAGGAGGGTGTCATGGCAATGAAGCCACAGGCATTGGAAAAATAATTCCCCAGGAAGAGCGACTCTGCTTGCACAATGTCTTTGTGTGGATCCCAACGCTGACGGGCACCATAGAGCTGTTAGTGACTTGTGAGTAATCCCTGGTGGATGATGTTTAACTGCTTTTATTCCTGTGCATTTCGCCCATGTGGGAGGAAAGAATGCGGTGATAAATATGCTGGAATAATTTCAGTGCTGGATAGTTTCCATTAATGTATTTCTCATTATGTAACGCTGCCATCACCGCACAAGACCTGCTAAGGTGCCTTTGAGGAAGATGGAACTTTTCTCCGTATCCATAGTTAAGAAAGTCATGGTGCAGAGCAGGCAGAGGCTTGTCAGTTGCACCGGATGTGCTTGGGCTTTTGCACAGTATGGATTTCTTTCCCCTTACGTTATGAGGCACCTCATAAATTAAACGGTTGATGTTGTCAAATGTATGCCATTAGCACTATGAGCAGATAATCCGTTCGGTGGCCTCAGCAGAGTCTATCGCAGGGCCTGTCTCCAGATAACGCCCTGGAAGAAGAACAATGGTGCTCCGAGCTCCCAGAGACCTCCACTCCTCAGTTCCATGCTTCAGAAGAGAAGAATTATCATTATCTGCATGGCTCAAGCTCCCTTTGAAATGCGGTTATTTTTCACTCATGCATTCCAAGTATTTTTTACATGATATCAGCAAGAAACCTGAAACTCCCTTTGAGAAGAGAAAGATTTCCTGCAGCCCTACTACTAAAGAAAATGGATAGATCAAGTAGTAAAGTTCAATGACTTACTTAGCATTAAATAAGAAAGAGAATAATGAATTGGATTTTGTGTGCCTGTTTTTCCTCTGCAGGGAACAGTCAGGCTAATGGATTTGCATTGCCTTCTGCTTCTGTTCATCAGTCTAGGTGAGTTCAAAACATTGCTGCCTTTTTGTGCTCTCCTTTCCCTGCTCACTCATCACAACTTCAAGTATTTGGAGCCTGGCAAGCACATCGGTTTGCTGCCATCAATGCCATCCAGGCCGGTGAGGAAAACATGCGAGGTTAACCCCCTGCGTCCGAGGATGACGCGTGGCCTGCTGCGTGGACATCTGTATTTTATGCTTGGTAGCTGCAAGTAGGCAATTCCTTACTTAGGGTGGACACTAGTTTCCTACTATTATGAGCTCAGGCTTTAACATCCTTCAAGAGAGACGTTATTTCCCTACCGGGTTCACCAAAAACTGGTTGGGTCTCCAAACCCCTCCTTTGTTTACGGGCTTTGCCGAGCGCGCCGTAGGGCTTTTTATTGGGGAAGGAAGGGAGGTGGTGTAGGAGGAAACTATTACAAAGCTATTTAACATAAACAACTTTCTCATGTAAACTCCAAGCACCGCTTGGCAAGGAAGAGGTTAAAGCTGGGGGGAGCACAGGGGGGGCTCATTAGGGCAAAGATATAAATAGCAAGTCGGGAAGCCTGGGGAGGGACAGGGGGAAGGAGAAGCAATGGGTTGACCCTAGATGGGGTGGACTCCCTTGGCTTGCTGAAAGCCCTCTGCTGCTCTGCCCTCAGGTTTGGGTCCGGATCCTCCTTATGGCGTCCCAAAGCAGGGGGGTGCTCAGACAGAAACCCCACATAACTGAGCAGGAGTCGTATTTGTTCAAAGGTGAACCCAAAAGGTGCTGGGGTCACCTGAAGACTTTCTGTGGAGCCAGAAACCACTGCCGGTTTCACCTGCCCCTTCCTGCTCCAAACCTTCACTGGGTCCACCAGCGCCTGCCCAGAGCCGGGGAGCTGCTCTCTGCCCGCTCGGATGGTCAGAGCAGGATTTCCGTTTTCCTACCAGCCTTGATGCTTCGTTCTTTCTGGCCTGTGTTGATTCCAAATGGGAAATGCATAATGAGAAACTGTTTAAACAACTTAAGGTACAAGGAAACTCACTGGAGTAAAGTACAACATTATAATTTATTTCCAAGGAAATGATGCAGTCTCCAAAAGGACTCCAATCAAGCACTGCAATTTAAAGTTGCAGGATAATTGCTGGCCATCTTGGGTGCTGCCTGCAGCCTCACCTAGGTCTGAGCATGGTGCATGAGGCGGGCAGGAGTCTGCCAAGATCGTCTGTGCTGCTGTCTGGTCTTGCCACCAGCAACTGTTCATCAGTATTGCAGATCTTTGCACGCAATGTGGGTATGACTGCTGGTGAAGAGGTGGCAGCCAATGTAATATAAACTCTGTGCCAACGGATATGTTAAGATATACACAAATGTTAGTGAGGGTGTTTCCTTAACAATGTTTTAAACCACCCATAGCAGCTATGTGGACCAAGGTGACAAAGTGCAGGGAGTGACCAAGCGAAGAAGCATGTCCCCCATCCCTTCGTACCCAGACACATTGGAATGCCTGAGGTTCAGGGAGGGTCTGGCTG